GCGCAATCATTAGACGACCGATCGTCATTTCCAAAAGGCAAATATTCCCCATCAAGAGTCAGAATGGGCGAATAACATTTGCAACACATCCTCACAGTACAACTTTTTATTAGCCATTTGGTGATTTTCTCTCACAAATATCACAATTTACTCGCACGCTATGAACTGAACTGCTTCCGAACTGAACTGCTTCCGCATCAATGACACGATAGCTCACTTGCTCTGCTATTTCCTCGAACACTTTGAATAGGAACATGACGTCATTTTGGTCTAGAATCGAAAGTACTACAATTCTGCCATCTAGTGGTAGGGAATACAAATGAGATGTCACACCATATTAGGAACTACAGTCTATTTTATTAAGTATGACGTCTTGTCGCAATTTTGCTACTTTGGCGCTTAGAGGGTTAACAAATAGGCTAAGTTTAAGCAACTGGCCCCAGGACGTTAGAATACAAATGTGCGCATCTACCACACAGGGCTGTGTTTCCAAAAGCATTGTAAGCCTAAGTTGATTGTAGCTCCATTGGTTTCAATGGGTCTACGATTTACTTAAACTTACTATGCTTTTGGGAAATGCAGCCCAGGACATTGGTTAATTCATTGCTCAACATGACAGTAGATTTTTGTCATTGTTTTAGTCATCAAAAATTTTTTTTTTTAATTTAGTTTTCATCAGTTAAAAAATGTTGACGACGAAAAATTATGAAAAAATTTTTTTTGACTGCTGTCAAGACATTTACAGAAGTTCTTATTGAGAATTAACAGAGGTAGGCGATAGATGTTAATTTTTTATTGAATGTTTCACTTGAAGTTACCAGAATTGTGATTAGTGGTACCTTTATTTGGTTTCTTGACACTTTATGCTTTAGCCTTAATTGTTATCTGACTGCTGAAACTGTGTTATTATAAATTATATTTGTTATGGCAAGACAAAATATGATGAACATAGGCTTCTTAAGGACTTCATACAATGACTCATATTTTATTGTTTTCTGGAGTTATAATAATGATTTATTTAAAAAAAAAAATAATAAAAGGCAATAATAAATCTTAAAAAAAACTTAAGGCAGTGTGAGTTAAAAGTCTATCAAAAAAAAAAAATGATATTATAATATTTTGCAGATCACACCATAATGCCACACTATTGAATCCGGGTCCTCCAGCGCTTTACCGTCTGAACACAGAAAGAAAACGGATTGATGAAACTGAGACAAAGGTTAATCGATGGACATATGGACAGAAAAAAAGAAATAAACAAAACAAAGTTATTCTGATGGTGGGAGAAACTGGCGCTGGGAAAACCACCATGATCAACACCCTGATCAACTACCTACTGGGAGTGAAGTTCGAGGATGAAGAGTTTTATCAGATCACAGAAGAAACTGAAGAGGAAGAAGTAGAAAAGAAAGAAGAAATAGAAGAAGAAGAAAACGAAGATGAAGATGAAGGAAAAGAAGTTGAAGATGTAGATAATTCACTATCCCAGACATCTGTAGTCACTGTTTATGAGGTGTTTGTTGAAGAAAACCCAACATCTCTGACCATCATCGACACTCCTGGATACGGACACACTGAAGGACTCGAGAAAGACAGAGAGATTTCTGAGTATCTGATCAGATTATTTTCAGATGAGGATGGGATTCAGTATATTGATGCGGTGTGTTTTGTGATGAAGGCGACACAGAATCGTCTCTCTAGAAAAGAGCATTACATAGTTCACTCAGTTCTGTCTCTGTTTGGTAGAGATATAGAGAACAACATAGTGTTTCTACTCACACATTCAGATGGAGGCCCTCCAACAAATGCCCTCAATGCCATTAAGAAAGCAGAAATACCCTGCAGAAGAGATGGGAAAAGAAAGCCTATTCACTTCTTATTCAACAACCGACAGAAAGAGATAAGAGACAAACAGTATGAACATAACTACAGATCATCATGGGAAATGGGAGCGAGAAGCATGAATGAGTTCTTCACATTCCTTGAAGAAAAGAACAGAAAAAGTGTTTGGATGACATTAGATGTTATGAAAGAGCGAATACAACTTGAGGCCTGTGTCTCGCATCTGAAGGATAGAATCTGTGAGAATGAGTTAAAAAATAATGAACTTACTCAGATTCAGGAAGCCCTTGCACAGAACAGAGACAAGATTCAGAAATTTCAAAGCTTTCAATTTACAGTCAAAAGAAGTTTCAAAGAAAAAGTTCCCATTGAAAATGAATGGGGGTGGAACAGAAATGCAACCTGCTGCAACGTCTGTCAGGAAAATTGTCATGAATGGAACTGCTGGTGGGTGAAAAATCTCTCATGGTGTGAAGTCATGAAATCGAACCACTGCACTGTGTGTACAGGAAAGTGTCATTACAGCAAACATGTTAGAGAGAACAAAAAATATGTGATCAGGACAAAGGAAATGAAAATGGCATATGATGATCTTAAACTGGAGTATGAACACACTGGTGACCGACCTGAAACCAGCTTTGACAAAGGAATATATATAAATACTAAAATGAAACGTGAAAGTATCATGAAAGAGTCTGAGAATAAAACAGAAACAGAAGAGAATCTGAAGAGCAATCTGGAGAAGATTAAACACGAAAAGTCCATCATGCTGCATGAAGCTTATATCAGCATTGTGAGTCTGTGTAAGATCTCATTAAAAGCAGACAGCGCTTCCACTCTTCAACATTTGGATTTCTTGATTCTCAGACTGAAGGAGGAAAAAAGAGATAAATGGATAAAGAACCTGGAGGATCTGAAGAAAACTGGAGATCAGCAGAAAAACAAGGGAGCTTTACGTCATTTGATGGATTACACTGCAAAAAACTAAGTTGTGAATAAATTACCATCAAAAGAATAGAAGCAACAAATCTCAAATTACAAGATGAAAAGCAGAACTGATATTTCTCTGCCAGGGAAAATAAGTAAGTTCCCTTACAAGAGGATATGATAAGTTCCATTATTATGTTACTTGATATATTTAATCTCTTTAGACTGATTACAAGATAACTGACACTTGCTTCTGACTAAAAATCTGCATTTTTATTATATATTTAAAATGATTTAATTGTTTAGGTGGTTGATTGTTAAACTTGTGAAAGTTTCTTGTTGAAATGATTTTGTAACGGAATTACTTTTAACTTTTTGTCAGGGTGGGGATGAACTAATTCAACAGCTGTTAGCGTAATACCTCTTTTTACTGTAAAATTCACTCAGAAATGTACATTCTGTCATCAGTTACACTTACTCGTGTTGTTCCAAACCCATTAGACTTTAATACGATTTTTTTTCCTCTTGCTACTATAATACTGGAGAGTTTATTATCATTTTAATAATTTATCACAGTCATTTAAATCTTTCCATTTAAAAAATGTCCAGCTTTCTGTGTTTTCACTGTTATACACTAGGGAGAGTAAAGAAATGAGTAAAGAATCTCCAGATCAAAACACAGGCAAAGAAGATGATGATGATGAAGATCATCTCACATATTGATCAAATTTTTTATAAAGGATATATAAAATATTTAAAGATATTACTTTGCATGTTTGTGTAAGCCATTCTACCATGTATGAGAGCCAGGTGCATTTTGAAGGCCTCAAGGCCAAATGACTGTGTAGGTCTCATGGCCTGTGACTGCACTGAAGGATCTGAGGATCCTTAAATGCAGCCTGTGTGTGCTTTGCTTCAAGAGAGCAATCATACATTTGTGTTGTCTTTTACTTTCTTTCTTTCTTTTATATTCCTTTATTCATTCATTCATTATAATCATTTATTATTTAATAATTTGTATTATTCCATTTAATCATATAATCATTTATAATAATCATTATTGTCATTTATATACCCATTTCATTGATTCATTAATTGATTAGTCATTTACATTATATTATATTATATTATTGTTTTTTATATTATTTTTCCATTGGTGTTTATTCTTATGACTGTGTGGTTTCAAGGGCTGTTTGTCTTCATTAATAATAGATACAAGGGAATGTTTATGGAAACTCAAGCTCTATGGGATGTTGTTTTTAAGCAGTTTTGCTATAACAATACTTGTTGAATTTGTGTTCTTCAGACAAAGTCTGAGCATTGAGACATACGCAACTAAGACTATTCAATAAACTCTGCTCCTTTTTATTATCATCACTTCGTCTCCTGCTTCTGCTCTTCACTGGCTTTTTCCTCAGTCAACTTCTTGGCTGATAGAAGACTGTTAATAGAGTTTTGGGTATTTTGGGTACCAGACAAGACTTCCTGTTAACAGGTTTTGGGTATTAGACAACTTCGCTGACGAGTTGTTCTGTTACCAGACAAAACAGATATTTTCTGACAGGATCTGGCATCCGGGACTGGATCTTAATTATCTTGCTTGGAGGGATAATCTAACAGCGCTTATGAATAGACGATACAGAAGGAAGAACCGTAGGTGGAAGATGCTACATGGTGAGATGCATAAATATATACTGTGTGTAAAGCTCGTTAAAATCCTGACAGCTCATTAAAATCCTAAAATGTATATGCCTCTGCAACCTTGGGCACCCGGAAAGGGGTAGAGAAGTTACAATGAAAGCAAGTGTTATGAAAACTAAAAAACAGTGGTGGAAAGTACTGGAAATGACGTATCTACATGCTCATTAGACAGTGACCGATAACAAACTTTTACAACGATGGTAGTTCTGGACAGAGAAAGATTCAGATGCAGTGCCTGACATCTTCACTGTAAAAAATGTCCCTGTAAATTAACGGTAATATACTGGCAGCAGGGTTTCCAGGAGTGTACTGTAATTTTACAGTTTTATTAAGGTATTCTGAATTACGGCTTTTTTGTAAATTAACGGTAATATACTGGCAGCAGGGTTTCCAGGGGCAAGCATGGCAGCAAATACACAGAAAAGAGAAGACCAAGAGGGTATTTCTT